TACTTAAGCTAATATGTAGCTGTCTGTACCTATTTGTGTAACACTGCAGGTGTTTAGTCCTAGCTACAATGAAATGACCTCTTGGAAATTCTTTGAAGAGATTGTGAAGGTTACTTTGCAATAGAATAGCTACAATTTTGTTTTGAGCGGCAATTTTTTTTTTTTTAAACAGAATTTGTAGATTACTTAAAATGTACTTGGTAACACTTTGTAATATTTGTCAACATGGTAACACCATGTCCTAACTTTTTCTAGTGACGTTTTTATTATGCTTAAATACATTTACTTATTTTACTGTGTAACATTGTTAGAAGCCATTTCTAAAGAGTAAGTAGTTGAGAATGCTGTCATACCTGAATCATTATATATTGCCTTTTAGAAGCATACTTGCCAATAAGTGTGACATTGTGATAGCAGCAATGAGTCTGGTAGCAGAAGATGAGAGGGAATGTATTAAGAGGCTAACAGCGACTGGCTGTACCTGAAAGTAGGATTACAGGAAAACAGAAGTTGTAACTTTTGCAGGTTTTCCTTTAAAGGAATAAAACTGAAGGACACAACACTGTTTAAGGTATAGATGCTCAAGGAAGACAGTGATACTTAGCCAGGAGATTTTACTAATTGTTCTTAAAGTGAACTTTCAGTTAAAGAGTCTATGTTAAATTGATGCAACTGAAATTCATGAACTTGAGCTTTCACACAGAACAGAACGTAAACATCGCATGAGTGCTTCCTTCTGCAATTAGTGAGTGTAGTTACTTTTACTTTTCCACTGGCAATTGCAGAAGAATGCAATTATTCATTTGCTCTTCAAGGACCAGGCATCTCCTGCAACTTCTGTATTTTAACATACGTGAACTTATTGTGTTGTTGCATGTCACCTTAATACTCTTCATGTCAAACTGGTATTGGAATGTATTATTTTTCTTATTTTGGTGGCTCTTAGTTCAGGTTAGTTTTTGGTTATGAGTTGACTGGATTTTGGTGAATGTTATGGTACTAAAAGCTTACTGAAGAGGAAGAAAGGTGGTTGTGTAGCTACCTGACTTTGTAACTCTTTCCCAGGACTCCACAAGTTTTGTTCCTTCCAGGGGGGAGCAAGTTTCCTCTCTACCTATTACACTGCTGAACCTCAGGCTTTGGGATGTGAATCTTTGTAGAAGCATGGTTGTAATGGTACTTCTGGAATCAAAGCTCTGGTTTTGAGCCTAGGTGTGATGGGGTTTTTTTATGCTTTACTTTTTTTGAAGTAACTATTTTGATAAATTACTTTTTTTTTCCACACTGTTTTTAGGTATCTTACCTGCTGCTTTCTTGTTTCAACTTTGTATTCTTAAATGGCTCTCTCCCTCTTGAGTAATTATGTTGGCTAAGATAATTCTTAAATGTTTGTGTGGGTTTTTTTTTTTGTTTTTTTTTGTTTTGTTTTTTTTTTTAGATGTTAGTTCTTTTAACCTGCCCATTTAAAGTTATTTTTCTAACCTTTTCTTTGTATACTTAATGACCAGGGCAACAGAAGAGAGATTAGCTGCCATGACAAGGAACAGAAAAGTCCTCTTTTTTATGGCTTTCTTCAATTTAGGACACAATTCCTTTTCTTAGAGGAGCACTTCCATATTAGGCCAGTTATGAAACAAAGATCTTTTAAACAGAAGAGTGATGTTTCATGTCATTAGTAAATGCATTCATTCTTTGAAACATGATGTCCTGTTTCCAGCTGTGCACACTGTAACTACCGTTGTGACTCTCTGGTATTAGAGAATATCACTGAGAAAATTATTGTGATTATTCTCACAGGATCTGGGAGCAATATGGGTAGCATTGAGCAGAAAAGGAGCTTCTTTCTTTTCTTGAAGAAATTCTCACAAGTGCATAATCTCTCCCCCTGAGGAGCAGCTGCATACTGATTACTAAATGCAAGCTGCTTATAAGTTTGTGTCTTGACAGCTCCTTTTTAGAAAAGGAACTTAGTCAAATATTCTGAGTAGCCTGTCAGTATAAACCAGATCTTTTCCACTGTTGTCCTATTCTCCCAGGAAGTCTTGAGTTTTGAACTTGGATTTGTTTCTGTATTTGTGATGAAATTTGAAAGTGGGATTTTCATTCCCCCCTTCCTGACCCTGTAGCAGGTTGTGCTCTAGCCCTGTTTTGAGACTATGAATTCATACGTTAACTCTTGCTCCCTCTGCGGGCTCTGTAGCAGAATGACATGAAATGCTGCAGGTTTTCCACAAACTGTATTTCTTATCTGGGTGCCAAGGTAACCCATTCCTGTCCCATTTTGAAAACCAGAATGCTTTCTCGTAGTACCTTTTAGAGCTTTGGCGTGAGTTGTAACATCTTGAAGTTTTTTTAGTATATCAGTTGGAATCTTCTTTATTCCTGTATGTAGTATTGTTAACAGCAATTCAGATTTTACTTGACAGCACCTGCAGCTGTTCACATGTTCCTGTCCTGAAGTATTTTACAACTTTTTATGATAACTAGCAGTAAAGATAGAAGCAAGTTTATTTCTTAATAACAAAACTGATCTGAAGTGACTATTAGCAGAGGAGGTGCAAAATCTGCTAAGACCTTTGAAGTGTAGTATATATCTCATGCTGTTCCTCTTCAGAAACTTGATTGCCTACAACGTTTGTTTTTAAAACAAATGTCCACACCTGATATTTGAAGTCTCCAAGGGCAGTGCATCACCAGTCACTAGAAAGCTGAAGTGTTAACATGTACCTTAACCCCCATATGAAGTAAGATAGCTTTTACAGGGAGGGCACTGTAATGTATTTTTTACTGTTTTAGTACATTGTTCCCAAAAGGTGTGCAGGGGATGGTAGTTGACAGTAGGTACTTGCAGTGTGAAGGGAAAAGTTGAGGTGGGCAGACATCAGTTCTTTCCTGCTGGTCCAGCTGCGAGACTGTACTTGAATCTGGAAAGTTTTAGAGACATTGGTGAATAAGATGATTGTTTCCCTGTTGTTTAGTTCCTTTTCTTCAATTTAGCCTTTAATAAAAATGAAGTGGGAACCAATAAGGTAATCCAGCTTTGATTGCATGTTAGCTATGGAAATTGTGAGCTTCATGGTAGCTGTACTAATTGGGGAAGTCCTTGGAGTTCATACTTGTATGGTGGAATATGCAGGAGGTATTTTTACATTTGCATATAGCTACAGCAGCCAGTCCTTTTCTGTGCTTATTGTACTTTTTTGCAGTTGCTGGTCCATGGTGTTTCAGAAGTTCTGTAATTGCTCTAACAGGCTGCTATTTTCATTTGTTTTCATATATTTCATAAATTGCTCCTGTATTTCTCATTTATATATGTATCTCTGTGTATCTATAAATACCTGTATTTATGCCTCTCTCATATATGTAGGGAAGAGGAGTTAAAAGTGCCATGCAATTTGTATGGGTTAAATGGAACTATTTTAGGAATCAGAAGGCTTTAGAAAGGTAATGTCTGACAAGTTTTGAAGTGATAAATGAATGAGAGAGGGCTTGCATTCAACCTGAAACCAAAAGACACACAGGACTTTGACTGGATTAGGGAAGGCAAATAGTACTTTATCCCAAGTCTAGCAGTTAGAGGAGAAACTTGAATCCCTTCCCGTATGTTTAGATTCCCTTCTTACAAGTATGATTCAAGTTTTTAATAAGGGGAATTTGTGTTTTCTTTTCTTGCATATTTCTGCTAACGTACACTGCCTCCTTTTATTAAGAGTTAATATTATGGTTTACAATTGACTGCTTTTCAGTTTTTTGAGTGTCTAAGTCTCTTGATTTGTTAGAAATAGGGTCTGTACAGGATACTTTGCAGATAAAGCAAGGCTAAATTTTAAGTGGGGGGTTCTTCTGCAGTGCATCACTAGTTTGGCTTTCTTCTTCACGTCTGCTTGAAGTGGTGATGATGGCATATGACCAGCCACATGAAAAGCTGGTTTTTGATTTAGTGTCATGACTGCCTATAGCTGTTCCTGTCTGAGCAGCTTTAATCTTCAGGAAGTGAAGAAAGCAAGCAATCTGCTATGGAAGGTGACTTAGCTCCCATGTTAGCTTTCTGGTGCTAATACTAAGATCTCCACCCACAGACATGGCTCAGGCTGTGCTTTTAGGGACTGATATGTCTGGTAGTTTTCCACTATTAATGAGAGGTGGTTTGCTAACCAGGATTCCAACTTTTCTAGGCCTGCATGAAATAAAAGCAAAATGGGCTTTTTACAGTTCAATGCTTTTTTTTTTTTTTTTTCCCTTGGATGTATTTGGAGATCCTGTTTGTAGTGACTTGTGAAATACTGATACAACACTGCTATGTATGACGAGATTCCAGGCTATTCCTTTTTGTCATCTTATTTTCCTTTTCTTTTACTGAAAGGCAGAAAGTAGTATTTTGACATAGGCTTCCTATTAATTACTGAGAATGAAACAGCTCTGTTTAATGCTTCTATACTAGGAGTGTAACCACTGAGGGATGGTTAGCAAGAAGAAAATTTGCCCTAAGATGGACTTCTGTTTTTTAATTTGATGAGACAGAAGTGAAATTTTTGTTGTCTAATCAAAAGACTGTTTATATTTAGTCACCACTTTTCTTTCATACCTCAAGCAGTTGCTTTATCTGATATAGAAGGGTTCAAGTATTACTCCTTTATAAAGGACTGGTACATTTTCAGATCTTAAATGATCTTCAAGTAGGTGAAGCTGGTTAAATATGTTGAGAATAGAGAAGTATGTAGTATGACTTGTGTGGTGCATTCTTGTAATCACTGTAAATGTAAGGCATACTAATAATGTTGAACTTAGAAAAACTAGCAATTACTAGTATACTAGGATTTAATCATTGTGAAAATGAATCCCTGTAAGGGTGTTTAACTTGCTTTCTGAGTCTTTGATGTGGTCAACTTATGTGAATTGTGTGTTGCTTGCATGGGGAAGAGCTCCTAAAGATTCTGCTCTGCCCGATTTCCTTGTAGTTCTTTTGTTTTGTCATTGAAGACGTTTTCCTTTTCCTTCAGTTTCTAAGAGAAGATATGCAATACAAGGATGCCTCTAATAAACATAGTCACCTGCACAGAGAAGACAAGCATATCACCATTGAGGATCTGTGGAAACGTTGGAAGACATCTGAAGGTAGGTAAAGAATAGCTGAAGATTTTGGTGGTTATTGAAATAGACATAATTCAATAATTTTTCCACCAGGTAGTTTAGAATAGTAAATGGATGACCTTTTTAAAGCATCTTCATGAATCTGTTTTGGTACTGTTACTTATAGATCTATGTAAACCTGACTTAAAAACTCATTCAGTCCATCTACTATTATTTTTTTTTCTTGATGTGCTGTGTGTACTGTAAGTAAACTAAGCTAGCTTACACCCTCATCTGTACCAGGTTGTAATTTATGAAGGTGACTGTTGCAAGCACTAAATTCCCTATGAACACATTTTTAATTTAGTAAGCCTTAGGGTTGGGAGTCAAGCTATTTTAAAACATCAAAGATATATTGTATCAAGTGGAAAGTCCAGTGTGTTTTGATTTAGATGTAACTGTTCTTTGGGCTACAGAGAATTAGAATTCTTATGCAAAGCATTTTGGGAAATATTTTCAAACTTGAAATATAGGAAAATGCACTGATAACCCAACCACCATCCCTCCCCATTAGATTTGAATGAAAAAATGTAAATACAGCCAAATATTCCAAATATCAAAGGACATTAGTAAATGAGCAGTACACTGTTCACTGCCAAATAGGGTCCATGATGTGGCTACTAAAAAGAAACTTCCAGGGGTCCAGAATTTATTGTAGCATATAGAGACCTGGTATTAGTCAAACAGCTAAAAGTAGGAACAAAGGAGAAAGGAAACTAGGAATATTGCACTGGTTCATCCTATATAGGAAGTCATTTAAATGCAGTCTGAGGCAATTCATTGGTTAAGTATTCACTCTGTAGTAAATATCTAAAATTTAAAGTGATTTCTATCCTTGTCTCTTCAAATATTCTGCAGATACTTACTGAAGATCTTGCTCAATTAAAGTATTGCAACTAAATTATCAGAGAAAATTATTTCCCTACAATTGTTTGTCTAACTTAGAGTAACTCTTCAAAAATGTAGGCTATAACAATATCAGAAGTATCTAATTTGTCTACTGTGTATGTCTTTGTTCCAGGTTTCTTGAATGTAGTGAGCAGTGTGAGTAATAAGACGCACAAAATTTTGAGAGGAATGTCTGGTCTTACTGTGCCTGCTTATAATGGCCTTATTGTACATGCTGTTGAGGAAACTGAAGTTGCACCACAGGGAGGCTCTTAGACTACCAAGCAGTGCTAACAGTGACCTGGTGGATGTTAGAAAGCATGAAGCCCCTCAAATATTAAACTACTTTCATTTAATATTAAGTAACATGGAAAATTCTGGTTTTCCTTTCTAGCTGTTTTTAGGAATTTTGATTTGTTAGTTTAAGTGCTGCTAGTTTATGGTACCAGTGTAATTTGACAGCACTAAACAAGAGGGTGGAAGGTAGTGTAAATGATGGTATCAGTAATTTGAAACTTTAAGTAGTCTGTTGAGGTATCTGTTGTGAGAATTACAAGCTATAAATAGTACCCTGGACAGTGAGCATTAGTGCTTATGCAGAAGCACCTTCTGGATCTATTGCTGCTTAGTTTATGCAGAGCAGATTTGTCAATTCTTTTCCATATAGCTTTATGTAGATGTTTGTCTTAAGTATTTGGCAAATTGCTTAAAGTTGCTTGCTGTTTAAGATATTGGTGATGTGAGGCAGGTAAGATTTGAAGATAGAAAATGAAAATACCGTTTATGGTATAGCAAGTTTGCTATTGCTGTTTGGTGTTGCTTTTTTTGGATTAAGGAAAACAGATTATTTTTGAGTAACTGCTTGAAAATCATGCACTGAATAGAACCCTGAGAATTGGCTCCATTCAAAGCTCTAAAAATTATCTAATAAAATAAATAAGAAAACCCAGTGTTTTAATATTTCTGGCACTGGGCAGGTTTTTGTTAATCCCCATTTGCTGCAGAATTAAGGCATAGTCTGTATTGATGCAAATTAAAGGAATTTCAAGGCTGCTATTGGTTTTATTTGCATGGAAGGAATTGCATCATAGCTTAAATCAGCATCTAGCCTATTGTATTTCCACACAATTTGAATTGGTCCTTCAGTACAACGCAAGGTTGTCAATTTAAGCTAGCTCATGTTACTTGTGATTTCCATGACCACTGAAATTTTTTAGTCTCATAATGTACAGAGAGTTCTGTATAGAGGAATGACTAGGAAAGTAGTGTAGCTGTCCTCTGACTTCTATTATTCCGTGTCTGCTCTTTGAATGTAAATGTCAGTATATGCTTGTATATATCTGGAGTATATATCTGGAGACTGGAAATGCATGCAAGCAGGGCTTGGCTAAGGGTGAATTACATAATGCTGTGTGCTGTTCCAAGGAGGGCCAGCGCAGTACTGATGACAGGCTCCTCTACAGGAATTGTAATGTTCAACTGTTGAAAAGATAGTTAGGGCCACACCTCTCTTACTTTTTTGTGCTGTTTAGAAACCTACTGGTGGCAGCATATTTCATGCTGATGTTGCTGCTGAAGTCCTGCATAAACAGAACTAACTTTTGAATCCCTCTGTGTGCTTGATATAGAACAAGCTCGTGTTTTTCTGTGTTGCCTGGTCAACCTGTTCTCAACTTTAAGCTTAATAGATGGCTGTCATCCACTTCTTGCTGTGAAATACTTATTGAATGTAATTTGATTTCTGAAGGGAGTAGGAGGCCCATAGGAGTACTGAGGCTGACATTGTAGCCTTGTTTTTCTTCATGACTGCCTGCCCTGAAGCACTGTGCTGTATGATAAATTTAACATGAAAAAAATATAGCCTGATCATCTAGTTGGTCATTAACATGGATTAGCAGGGAGCAGAATTCATGTAGGGCAAGTTTGAAGCTACTTTTGCTGTCTTCACCTTCAGACGTGTTGTTAGAGCAGTTAAAAACCAAACCAATGAACCAGACAAAACAAAAACCCAAACAAAAAAAAAAAACCCACCAAAGTAAAACAAAACCAACCAAATTAAACTCAATCTAAAGTTGTAATCTGAAATAGAAAACAGTTTATGCGAGTGTAGATACTGAGTGCTGCACCAGGGTGTAAACACTGTGGCTTCTACACTCAACTGCCCAAGGCATGTTGCTGACATCCTCTCTTCCAAGATATCTATTTACAAAACAGGTGTGAGAGGAAAGGATGTTATGATTGCTGTCTAATGCTATATGCTTTAAGTTACTGTAACTGTCAGTTGCTACTCCACTGAAGCACTGTGTTATTTTCTGGTGATTAAAATAAGGAAAAGTTACAACCTCAGCTAATTAGTAGGAGCTGGCACATTCTAATTGTCAGTGCTGATTGAGGTGAATTTCAGCTGGCCTGCTCACTTTTCAGTACACCTGGTGTGTGTCACTTTTGTCATGTTTCAGTAGGCTTCTACTGAAGAAAGACTGGTTTGCTTCTCAGTACTGTTGTAGAATAAACACGTATGCTGTCTTCAGTCTTATTGTCAAGCAATACTTCTTACCAATAAATAGCATATAGAAGATATTAACAAAAAAACAACCCAAAACCATTCTGAATGTTTTCACTGATGTACATCAATCTCCCAGTGCTCTACTGTGGTGCTGTAGGGAAGGGAGAGCATGGTAGCTTAGTGTTCAGTTTGAGCTGGAAAAGTTGGGGGTTTGTGGGCACTGACACTGGAATTCTGCTAATGTAAAATTATTTTACATGGTAAATCTGAATTTCTAGTGAAATATGTGCATGGCCAGAGATTCAGACTGAAATCCCAGAAGAAGAGTTGACTGTATTGATTATGCTTCACTTAAATGGTGAGTGGCCATTTAAGAGGACAAAGCATATACCAAAAGTTCCAATTCTAGTTTGTGATAGACTTTAGTTGCTCCTTTTTTTGCAGTGTCTGTACTAAAGGAGGCATCTGATACAGTGGAATATAATGAATAGTAAAGTGCTTTTTCCTAAATACAAATAGTTTGTCTGGGGAGATTTCTTTGATATTCTGTAAAGAAAATATCACACAAGTCTAAGCAGTTAAGCAGTAGAACAGACGTGATTGGCCCTATGGTAAACAGCTTCAGTACGTACCTCATTTCTTACATGGTTATATGTTTATAATTACTACTGAATGATAAGAAAGTAAGTTCTGACAGAGTGACAACCGAATACTTTTAGCAGCCAAACTGACACTTCTCAATACTTTTTTTCTTCCTTTTCCCTTCCCCCTCAATTTATAAACTCTGTAGTTGTGTGGCTTCTGAAATCTGGTGTTCTGCACTGTCAGTGATAACATCTGTAGTGTATAGTAGCTATTTTAAGAGTTGTTTGTTTGTTTTTGTTTTGGTGGTTTTGTTTTTTTTTTCCCCTAATGTCACATCAAAACAATGCTTTTGCTTTGGATCAGTATATGAACCTATTTCTGGAATGCAGGCAAGGTGATTACGGTGATATCTTTCTGCCTGATCTTACCACTATTTTGAGATGCTTAGAATGACTTGTAAATCTGATTGCTTCTTATTCACAAAACAGTTAAGAATCTCTGTAACGTGAAAATGATCTGCTTACAAACATACCCCAGACATTTTGCATCAAAGCTTAAAGTAATATGACAAAAATAAGTCTGTTGCAAGATCAATACCTGGAAAACAGTTTGTGGCTCAAAAGAAGAGGAGGAAATGGGGCAGCATTCCAGGAAGTAGATGTAGCCGTTCATACAGATAGAATACATGTGCTTTGTACTGTGAATTTATTATTTATTTTTTTTAAAAATCTATTAATGGCTCTGTGAAATGTGTTCTATCGTCTGTTACCAGGAATGATGAAAATTTGAAGTGTTTAAGTTTAATTTTTTTCAGCTACGCTAGTGTAGACAAGAGACCTACAAGTCCTTATTTCAGTGCAAACTGAAATATGAATTTAAATGCATAAATTTTTCCATTGCCTGCAGCTTACCTGTCAGACTTTCAGCAACTCTTTCTAAAGGGTCATTGTCAAAATTCACCACTAAGAATGTGTCCTTGTGGTAAGGTTTCTCAAGAAATACCTGCTCAACATTGTCATATGGAAATAGCTGGGGGAGTGGGGGAAGATTAAATAAGTGTATTTGTTCATGCAAAGACACATCTGTGCAGAAGGAGGCTGTCGGTTTCTTTCATGTGCAGACAAACTTGCAGACTTTGTAAATGGAGTGAAGAACTTCCCTTCAGCTTTGTCAGTGTGCAGCTGTAAGCTGTAGCAGCTGACCTGTAAGGACCAAAAATGTTTTCATGGTGGTGGTTGGTGTTTCTGTGTGTGTAATATTTCTGTAGCTATGAAAGCTTATGTTAACTGTTGCTGTTATACAGGAAAACTTTTGATTATTCTATAAATGCGTAAATATTTTTTCTTAGTGGGATGTTATTGTATGTAGTGCAGCTGTTCTGGGCATATTTGAGAGAGATTTAACTGTTTTCCTCTTAAATTTCTTCTGTGTCTCAGTATTTTCTTTCAATCTTCCCTCTTCCTCTTGTCTGCTCCCATTTTGTGGTTAGTAGGCATGAGCCTCTATGGAGATTTTTATGAAAACAAGTTCTTCAGCCGTCATCCTGGGAAAGATCTTGATACATTGCCTCAAATGGCTACAGCACCTACTGACATGTGTTTAGTTCTGCAGGGGTAACATGGACAAAAGGATTGGGGCTGAGATCAGTTTAAGCAGATAAAAGTCACAAGATGCTGTCCTGATTTAAACTAAAGCAAAATATTAAATGATTGTGTGGAATTTTTAATAAAGAAATGTTTCTATTCGTTCTGTGCTTTTTTTTTGTTTATAGCTTGCCTAAGCTTCCTCTGAGAAGCATATAATGAAAAAGGCAAAATGCCAGAAACACCTTGGTGAATGTGAATACTAATTTTTCTGCAGTTATATTTGGCTAAACTCTCTTGCTTATTGTAACCTGCTTTTCTACTGTTTGTCTTGTGCCTTGGTGTTGATTTTTCACAAAAATTAAAGGTAATTAATCTGACTTTTTCTTCCAGTTCATAACTGGACTCAAGAGGACACTCTTCAGTGGCTGTCAGAATTTGTTGAACTGCCCCAGTATGAAAAGAATTTTAGAGACAGCAATGTCAATGGAACAACACTTCCCAGGTGAATGTTTCTTCTGCATTAGTTTCAACTAATTCCCTGTAGGTTGCGCTTTAGTCTTTATGTGGGAACGGCTATGCAAGCCTAAAGTCAAACAAGATACAGTCAAATGCAAGGGGAGAGTAGCATCCTTGCAGTTTTTAAAAGCTGGCTGCTTTCTTTTTTTTTTTTCCCTGCCAAAATAACTCAAAATATAAATGCTGCTTCTTTTGTTTTTTGCTTTGTTTCTTGCTGTTGAAGCTTTTATCGATGGACACAATTCTGTACAGTAGTGAACTTGCTTTTGAACAATTTCCAGTCTGTTGTACAGTTATACCTCAAACTACCCGTAGAACCCCCTTTTTTGAGCATAACTACTAAATTTCAGTATTGTGTGTACTTTAGAGAGTTGTCACAAGTCTTCAAATATGCCATTACCTCTAACTATGCTAGATGGATTTTTTTTATGCTTATTACAGAAAGAAAGAAATAGGGAAATGATTTATTGTTCTTCCTTTGCCATATGCTGATATGCTTTTTTAATAGCACTGTTGTCATTGTATTGTATCTCTCACTCAGAACTACAACCTATATAACTGTGGGAAATGCTATTGATGTATTTCTTTCCATAGACTGGTTTTGACTATAGCTTCTGGAATAGGTAACATTGTGTCTTATCATTAACAGGATAGCAGTAAATGAACATGCTTTCATGATCTCTCACTTGAAAATAATTGACCGGAGCCATAGACAGAAGCTTCAGCTTAAAGCATTGGATGTTGTTTTATTTGGACCTCTCACCCGTTAGTATTTTTTTAATTTTTTTTTTTTTTTGTCTTATCTCTTGTTTGTAAGAATTCAACAGATAGAATTTTCAGTGACACTTGATAGGTAGGACGGCTTGTCTGTTTTGTGAATGTACGGACAGGTTACTTGGCATGCCTTGTGGAACTGGGCAGTGAATTAAAAAAGATGATCAGGATGCTGGGATCAGGACAAAGATTCATTTCTGTATGAGATTATGTAGAAATTTTAGTATAATGCCAATTGGCAGATCGATGTTGGCTTTGTGTCACAAGAAGTGTACTCTAAAAGTCTTTTGATGTTTAAATTACACTTGCAGCTAATGTAGCATTCCCTTCTGTATTAGCTTGGACAGTGTAAGCTGGGATGCTGAAGTGAGAGGGGATGACCTTCCCCAAGGAATTAAGAAAGTAGATGGTAGTGCAAATCCAATGCTAGTGTCTTTTGTGCAGACTTGAGTGTAAGTGCAGTTAAATTTAATGCAGCATTTTCACGTCTGATCCATTCTTAGCATATCCAGACATTTCCATACCACATCACCAGTGGTGTGCATGCTGGCTAGTACGCAGTTACTGGTACTGTGCATGTTGGATATTCCTGAACTAGGAGGTCTTTCCAGAGTTTGGTTGTCAGTTTAGAGAGTAGTGAATGAGTTTGAAAGTCAGACCAGATCTGAGCTATATAGATTAAGTAGATTGTATTAGAGCAGAGTTGATTATGCTGTATGGAAAATGCTCTGGAATCCATTTGAAAGGTTGGAGATGGCTTGAGATAAAGGAGATGGAATTTTGTTTAGTATCAGGTTTTGTCACCTTTTAGGCTTGGGGAGGGGGCAGAGGGGAAGTCCATAGTCTGTTGTCTGTATCAGTGAATTAGCTAATAATCGTGTTGTTTTCTGTGCAGGTCCCCCTCACAACTGGATGAAGGATTTTATATTAACAGTTTCTATAGTTATTGGTTTTGGAGGCTGCTGGTTTGCATTTACACAGAGCAGGACTTCAAGAGAACATATCACAAAAATGATGAAGGATTTAGAAAGCCTTCAAACAGCAGAACAAAGTCTTCTTGACTTGCAGGAAAGGTATAAAAACTAAAAAAAGTTAATGTTTGTTTTGTTTTGAGGCTAAATACAAATACAGATCCTTTACAGTCATAAATTACTTGCGTTCAGCTGCCTTATTCATCTTCATTTTGCATGGAAATTGTGATTTCAGTGGTGATGGAGTTTTGCGTAGGAATTCCTCCTGAATATTTTAGTAGGCCATATGAAGGTAGAGAATAGGGGTTTTTTAACCTGCAGGTTTAGAAGTATGTACTGTTATTTTTGTATAGTTATAGTTTACTTTGGAATGCTTAGATACATGGAAAATAAGAATATCTATCCTGTTTTTAAGCTCTTAAGATTGAAGCAGACCTGGACTGATTACTTTCTGCTTTCTATTGCATATTTGTGTGTGAAAGCTGATAGTTGTCTGTGGTGCACCTGTAACTCAGTTGTCTATGGAGACTTTTTATTTTATTAAACCTTTAATGAAGGCTCACTTCGAAGATGAATGTTTTGTCTGAGATGGATGTCACATTGGTTGATATAATTGCTGTTGATTCATGAAGCTTGCACAGTCTTTATCACGGACTGGTTGAGGATGGAAGGGACTTCTGGAGGTCATCTTGTCCAGCCCTACCTGCTCAAGCAGGATCATGTAGAACAGGTTGCACAGGACCATGTCCAGGCAGCTTTTGAACATGCCCAAGGATGGAGACTATACCACCTCCCTGGGCAACCTGTTGCCAATGCTCAGTCACACCTATGATGAAAAAGTCCTTCCCGATGTTCAGACTTCTTGTATTTTGATTTGTGCCTGTTGCCTCTTGTCTTGTTGTTGGAGACATTTTCTTCTGAGAACTGCAACTTTTAATAAATATGCTGTGTATTTTCTCCTATTTTTTCTTCAATTGTGAAGGCTTGAGAAAGCACAAGAGGAGAATAGAAATGTTGCTGTGGAAAAGCAAAATCTGGAGCGCAAAATGATGGATGAGATCAATGATGCAAAACGGGAAGCTCATCGCCTAAGGGAGTTGAGGGAGGGAGCTGAATGTGAGCTCAGCAGGCTCAAATATGCAGAGGAAGAGCTAGTACAGGTATCTGCAAAATGTTTATAATCTTAGTGTTGACTTTAAATTGGTCCTGGCTTTAATAGGTCCTTAGGAATGTTTAAAGCAGCATTTGTCTCATGCTAGATTTGAATGGAAATATCAGTCATGCTGTTATCTAGTAAAATAATCCTTAAACCCTAAAAAGACATACACTTTGTACATTAGCTTATCATAATATTCTTGAATTCGTGGAACAAAATACATATGTATAAAAGCTTTTTTCTCTGTCTTGTTAACAGATAAGTGATGATACCTTTGTCTCACTCCTCTGAGTAGCAATAGGTTGGATTTATTGCACTGAATAAAAATGCTGTCTTATAAAAATATTTAAGATTCAAATTAGGGAGTATATAATAGTATACTTATGTATAATGGAGTATATGGAAATTCATACGCTGCATTTCAGAAATGCCAGATCCGCCTTCTTGACAGCAATTGGCACACACAAAAGCTCTGTAAAGCCTTAGTATGTTGCCATGGGTATAAAGGTGCTTATATTTTACTTTCTTCTGTTGTCAGTTCTAATGACACTTTTATTTCTTCTTGATTGTTAGGTTCGCATGGCTTTAAAAAAGGCTGAGAAGGAGTTTGAGCTGAGAAGTAATTGGTCTGTTCCAGAAGCATTGCAGAAGTGGCTTCAGTTAACACATGAAGTTGAAGTACAATATTACAATATCAAAAGACAGCATGCAGAAATGCAATTAGCAATTGCCAAAGATGAGGTAATAAGTCCTAGCTAAAGATTTTTCTTGATCTGTTGCTAGATATGAGATGGTAAATACAAATTATTCAGATAAACGTTTGATACTTTTTTCTCCTCTGAGTTGTTGTTTGCGAACTGTCAATATTGCATTTCATCTTGCTTTTCAGGCAGAAAAGATAAAAAAGAAGAGAAGCACTGTATTTGGAACATTACATGTTGCACATAGCTCCTCCCTGGATGAGGTGGACCATAAAATTCTTGAAGCAAAGTAAGAGTATTACCAGGATGCATATTCTTTTGTGGTTATTCCTATAACAATGGAATTTTTGGGGAGTTACAGAATTTATTGTCTAAGTGGTTTTGCACTTTTAAGTAAATCAGTTTAAAAGATGTTAGTGTGAATATTTGGACAATCCTAATTGGCTCTTCTGGTATGCTGGAATGGCTGTACTTGTGTTGCTTTGCTTTATCTTTAAGAGCAGTGTATGTAACTTTAATGTGTACTTTTCTTCAGGAAAGCACTCTCTGAATTAACAACATGTTTACGAGAGCGTCTTTATCGATGGCAACAGATTGAGAAGATTTGTGGTTTTCAAATAGCACACAATTCCGGGCTACCAAGCTTGACCTCTTCTCTCTACTCTGATCACAGCTGGGTAGTTATGCCTCGAGTTTCCATTCCTCCTTACCCAATCGCAGGGGGAGTTGATGACTTAGATGAAGATACTCCTCCGATAGTTTCACACTTTTATGGTAAGTGCTGAGCTTGGTAAAAATAAAGGGGAAAAGTTGTGGAGGCATGGGATTTTGAAGTGGGGTGGGAGAAGAGTGCTGAAAATCAAACAGGATTGGATTAAAGCCAAAAGAACCAAAATTCTATCTAGCATTTCAGATGCATCTTTTGGGACTTAAATGAGCTGAAAACTGGGCTTTGCAATAAAGATAACATGAAGAAAGTCTTTTTCTGTTTCAGTGGGGAAGTGAGGGGCAAATCCAGTTAAGGTTTTGAAAGTCTGCTTGTCATGCTTGGATTGCTGCTTAGACAAAAATTTATAAGTAATGCTAAATTTCTGTTAGCACACTTATCCTTTCGTACGGAAAGGATGTAGTTTGTCTAGGGTCCCTTGAGCTACCATGAAGATCACACCCTAGAAAGGCTGCGTGCTACATAGCTTTTAAAACATTCTTTAGTAGCTGGAACAAAATCTTCTTGTTATATAAAGGAAGCTTTCAGGCAGAATACTTGTGTTTGGATACAGTGGGTTGTTTGAGTGCACAGCAGAGAGGCCAAGTACTGGAGAGAGGGAAATCCAGCTTTGGTTAAACTATGATCCAAGGATATACACTGGGGATTCAGACCACCCTTGTATCTTGAGCTGTTACATCAATACAAGAGCCTGTTTAATGGAAGTTTTGATTAATTGGACTCTAGAGGCAAATCAAAAAGATGAGCTCCCATGTAGCTATTTAAACAAGCAATATCAAGCTGAGGAATGGGTAGGGAAGAAAACTTTGTCATGCGTGTACATTTTTCTTCCAGGGCTGTGATTCTCAGAAGAAATTAGAACTACATTTTAAAATAGCATAAGGAGAATGATTGCCACTTTGCTGGCTTAATTTTTGTGCTTGGAGCACATGGTTTTTCTTCTGAATGTAACAAACTTTCTACAGGCTACAATGAAAAGTTCATTAATCTCCCTACAGCACTACTTAAAATTGAATGATCTGTGGTTGCAACCACAGGAGTCAAATTATTGTAGGTTAGTTTGGTAAGTTATTCCTATCCTTTAGACAAAAAATGACAAATGCACATGAGGAAGGACAGAAGCAAAATGGCTTGTCTCACTCGTGAGGCTTCAGGCAAAATGCAGCATGCAGACGGATCAGCTATGAACACAGCTGTTTCAATCTCTGGACCTGGACCTAAACCTAAACCCTAATCTGGGCTTGTTATCTTGCCCCAGTGTCATTTCATCTCAGTATTGACAAAATTGGAAGTCTACCAGAAAGGCTTCTTTGTGCTGCAGCAATTGGGATGATGGTTTAAATGGTGTGAAGTAATACAGCAGATTAATCAGTCCTGAGATGAAGAACAAAAGGGAATAAAGAAATAATGTACAAGAGTGGAACAAAATCGTACATGAAGGTGATAGTGAAACTTCCACTTTTCTGCTGACTGATTAGGATACAGCTAATTTCTTAATCTAGTGAATTTCATTTGTAGTAGACAATTTTAGATGCTAAATTCTCATTGCTGAGTCCTTCATAATTCTGTGTATATACACTTACAAGGAACCAAAACGCTTATGACTTCTTTCAAAATTCACTGATGGTATGATCTTGTTCTTTTTTTTATACAAGTGAGTAGGATGGCATCTGATTTACCTCAACATGTAGTATGAATTTTCTAAATGCGTTCTTATTCTCTTATCTCAGTTCACATTTGCTTTTTGGGGAATAATTTTGTGATGACCAAATCTTATTTTTGATCTGTGAACTCCTGCTTTTTAGGTCAGTAATGGAGTACATCAGAATAAAATCAGAAGTTTCAGTTACATGACAACTGTCATGTTGGGAGTTTTAAACCTTTCTTTTCTGTTCAGCTGGGTGGAAACAAAATCTAAGTGTTGGTGAAGGTGCAGCTAGTAGCTGTTTTGTGAAAGTTATGATTCCCTGCACTAATCCAGAATGACAGCCCGACCTTTTCTGAGATTCCAGGAAGGGAACTGTAATCTACCTGATGCTAAACTGGCATCTCAGAAAAAAATGAATTTGTCAGGCTAGATATCCTTGTCTACAAAAATAACCTTTTCAGTTTTTTTTTTAGTGTTTGGTAAACATTTTGAACATCAGGGTAGGTCTGTCTTACCTAAGCAGTAATGCATTCTGTGGGACAGTTTGAGGAGGGATATGAGAAGTCCTGAGGCTCATAACAGCTAGCCTGAAAACAGGTCTGTAGATTTATTTCCATAGAAGTTTTGCTGCCTAATAGTATTTTCGAGGAATTGGATTAAGAACATTTTAGTTTATCACTTCCTGTTAGAAACTTCCCTGATAAGTCTTGAGTTGCTGTTTCCACCCATTCTTAGTATTTTTGTTTCCAGAAATTCGTAGTTAGCCTGGCAAAAAAAAGTGTTACCAAAAAGGAAAATTTTGAGCTAAAAATGAGGTTGAGTTCTATATTTTATATGATGTTACATGAATGAAACTGATCTTCTGCATCTAATATAACTTTCAACTAAAGCAGCCTATTTCATGGCTGTTTGGTTAAGTGTATCTACATTGCAAAACCTTTAGATATTCTTTTAAGCTCCAAATTGCCACATGAATAAAATACAGGATATTGTGTAGTATACTAATTTCAGCACTGCTATTTTTAGCTTATAAAGGGTTGGAAGTTTTAGTAGAATTTTTCTTTGTTCTCAAGAGATCGTAGTGAGCCAGAGCTTCAGTGCACATGGTCAGAGTAACATTTGGCACGCACAGACTGCTGCAGTTGCATCTTAGTTAGAGCTTCATCTAACTGTAGAATGTATAAGGTAATGCCAGTCTTTCTTTAATGTCACTTGGAGGGTTTTGGTTTGCTTTTTCTTTGCCTCAGGGTCCATTGTAAAACCTCCGGGCACACTGGCAAGAAGCAGTAGCTTGTGTCGATCAAGACGCAATGTTGTGTCATCATCTCCACAGTCTCAGCATACTTTGCACTCCCCTGACCCTGACATCCTTTCTGTGTCAAGCTGCCCAGCAATTTATCGAACTGAAGATGAGGAGGAAGCCATTTACTTCTCTGCTGATAAACAATGGTATGGAGATTAGCAAATAGCACTTGGAAATCTGATAGGATTATTTGAGAGTAACAGTTTAGAATTAGGGGTTGAACCAAGCAAAAAGTTAATCTGTAGGATAATATAGATTAATATAGTCCACATGGAACAGAGAGAGTTCTTGTCTGGTGTGTGTATGTAAATAGCTAGCATGTCATATACAGTTAAGTGATGTTACAGTCCAGGGTGCACTGAACTAACCCTGATTCTCCATTACAATATGTTACTGGCTTTTACATCTGAAACTAGGATCAAAAGCAATGTCAGCTACTGGGCGAAGAGAAGATGGATGGTAACACAATTCTTACAGCATGTTGAGCGTGTACCTACTCTTGTTACATGGCCTCATAGGAAAAGGTTAAATTCCTTTTGGAAGGAGCAAATGAGCTTGTTGAAAGGTAGGGACACTTGTCCTGAAGAAACTTTTTATATATGATAGGCTTAAATCTCCTCCTTTCATTTTATAACTTTTCTGACTTCACATGCCAGAAAGATAGTTTTCGTTCTTTGAACTGAAACACAAATGTCTGATTCTGGGTAGATGCTGCTGTCCACAAAAATGAGATTGCAGAATTAATTATCTTAAGTTTAGATAATGAAATGATGTAATGCAAGTTGTGACATAAACTGTTTAACTAAATGGTTTTTGTTAATTAACTAAGGAAAAGTGTGGGTGGTGCTTTTAGGCTAATGTTATTGATTCTAAATTAATTTCCTTTTTTAACTGTAGAAAGGAATTAGTAGTTTCAATTGTGTTTTCTCCTCTCTTTGCTCTGATTCAGGGAAGTACAGGAAACAGGTTCGGAATGTGACTCGTTAAATTCGTCCACTGGAAGGAAGCAGTCTCCTCCATCAACTCTTGAGATGTACCAGGTGCTTTCTTCTCAGAAAGTATCCCCAGAAGAATGCTCCCTGGAGGAATCATCTACAGGAGACTCCTCTTCTCTAACTGCAGATATTTCTAGGGGCTCTCCTGACTGTGTAGGCATGGCAGAAACTAAGAGCATGATCTTTAGTCCTGCAAGCAAAGTTTATAATGGAATTCTGGAGAAGTCCTGCAGCATGAACCAGCTTTCAATTGGGATCCCTATCCCAAAGCCTCGTCACACCTCTTGTTCTTCAGCCAGCAGTGATACTAAACCCAGCCATGAAGCTGCTTCTGTCCCCAGGATAAGTAGCATCCCACAGGACCTCTACCAAAATGGTGAAAAAACCAAAAAGCCATCAAAAATAAAAAGCCTCTTTAAGAAGAAGTGTAAGTGAGGTGGGCAGAAGCCCGTAGTAGTGTTATAAGAACTATTTTTTAAATCTTTAGGAATGTGATTCCATTTGAGCATTCCAAACTGGATGCCCTAATGGAATGCTCTGTAGGTCAACTATATTTAACTTCACTGTACTGTCAAAGGTCATGCCAGCTGTCAATGAGAAATCATTAAAAAGTTCAGACAGTTTACATTCATTTCTGCCTATTTATTTTTTTTTGTTTTCTTTTAGTTTGTCTTTCTTAGTGTTTGTTTTGTTAGGGTTCTTTTTCTTTTTTTTTTTCCTAAGCTTTAATGGACTAGTAAGCCTTCCTGGGCTTCCCAAAGTTCTTGTTTACTGGAGCATCTTCCTGTTGTTCTGTAGAGCTACGACATTTATCTACTGGACTTTAAGAAAAAAATAAAAAGTAGAACTAATGGAATTGCACTACTGTTTTACAGACTGGAAAAGTCTCTCTACAAGTGAAACTCAAAGACTTGTATTTGTCTGAGAAGATGAATCTTTTCACTTTTAGATCTTTTGGGGTTTTTAAGTAGAATTTAGGATTTCTAATTGATTTGATTTCTGGAAATGGAAATGCCATGCTTTTATTATGGGAAGCTTTGTTAGATGCATTTATTATTAGAATGGTTCAAGTCCTGCTGTAAAGATCATGCTTTTCCCAGGACTTTCACTGTGATTTTTGCTTCACTGCAGGCTGTACGACAAAAAAAAAATAGGTAATTTAACAAGAGAAGAGGCTCTTGATTCCTTATGCAAGTGATGGATATGAATCTTGACTGAGGACTGAAAATATTTACCCTCTTCAAATGAGGAGGGGGGATAGTAGCTTTTGTTTACAGACTGACAGACAACGGACATTTGGTTTGTAAAAGTTTGTATTGTGGCAAAGATAATAAATTGGAAACGTTGTGTTTGGGAATGTTCCAATTTAAGGTGATACTTGTTTCAGAGGTCCTGCTAATTGAAAGCTGTTGCAGGCTACATTGCTTATGCTTTCTGCTGTGTGTAAGGTGTTATTTTTTTTTTGGATTAGCTATTAATGTCTTAATGTCCTCCTTTTGTAAGATTTCATACACTTTATTTTTGTATAGTTTGAAGATTCAGCTGTTCAGACATGTCTGAAGTAAATGGTATAATTTTATAATGCATACTGTTACACTAACTCATAATTTTAGATATATAGGTGAGGCTTGACACGCTTCAGATAAAAGCAATTTTTATGTTAAGCTTTTATAGGGAGAGAAGAAATTACTAGGAGGTAATAAGGAAGCCTTCTTAGAGCAACAGTAGCTTCTTATTCAGAATCATTTTTTTTAACAGTTGGAGACAAATGTACTGCTTGAGTACCAGTGCCTTTATTGAGTCTGTTTGAAAATATTAATACCGAGCATAAATTTCTTTTGAGGTACATTCCAAAGAAATACTTCTTGCTCTAGTGAACACAAACAATTTACCTAGTGATGGCTAAATGGTTTCAGCTCTTCCACAATAACAGGTGCCACTGCCAGGGACCTGTGATTAGGGGCTCTCTTCTTGCCAATATGTACATGCTGTACTGTATGAAAGAATTAATTCACTGACTGCCTGTTTCTTTTTCTAGTAAGGAGCTTTCAAAACCTGTAGCTAATTGGAGTCAAGTGATGTCATATTCTACTTAGGTTCCACTGTACATAACTGATGTATTAGTTCTGTCCTCAAGAAGTGGTGGTGATGTTAACAGATGCATTTACTGCAGCTAGTGAAATGGCTAGAAGAGTTAGAAAATGGGATGGAGGCCTCATGTGTGCAAATACCTTAAAAGTCCTGGTACATTCATCAGTTCCTTAACAGAACAGAAAGAATCCATAGTTTTACTGTTTAGAAATGGTTGTATGTCATCTATACAGAAATGCGTAGGAGGAATCAGCTGTTTGGTAAAGTTAGGAAAGGACAAATAGAAATGGGATATTGTTCCATTCTAATATAAAACATCAGATTGAACAGCTATAGCTGCAAAAAAATCATCACAAGGTAACAGTTGTCTCAAAGTTTGTACACTCCGTACATGGTAGATGAAAAAAGCCCAAAACAGCAGTGCAGAAAGACTTGTGCCAGACAACCATCACAGTGTTCAGTCTTCAGAGCTGTACAGGCCTTATGGTGTACTTGAAGGACAAAGGGAAACAATACAGAAAAGTAGAGAACTTATTTTACCTCCTAAACAGCATGGAGAAGACTACTACCAGAAAAGTGTTCAACTTTGATGTCTGCGTCTGAGAAGGCTATAGCAAAAACTTGAGTTTAAAGTAAGATCTGGGGTTGGATGGTAAATCTTGCCGTGTGAATTTTGAGGAACACTGCCTCTGTTGTTATCAGAAAAGATGAAACTGAAGAGTGTATATTTACACATGAGAAAAGGATATCTGGTACTGAGGAGTGGGAGGACAGCACTTCTTAATCCTGATGTCAAAGTCAGTCAAGCTTAAATGCTGAGGAGCCAAAACAGACAAATTCAGCTTTCTGTAGTAAGCGTACCAAAAAATGATACAGAGAAGGTGTTGGACTCTTCATTAGCTGTGAGTTTAAGTGTTAAGTAATTTAACTATCTTCTGGAAAAAAAAAACCAACTCTGTTTATCCCCAGCTGTTCTGTAACTTATAGCTGCTTCTTAATAAATATTATAGAACTAATAGCTTAAGTTACTATGATCAGAAGTGGTGAATATTGTATGTTGGTGCACAAACTGTAATTTTAAGTTAATAGATTTGGGATTGTTTTTATTATTTTAATAGACCCTTTGCACATCTTGACACCTAAATTTGTCCACAATTTAAGTGACTTGCATTGTTCTTATTGTGGCTTCTGTAGAAATGCTGATCTTCAAGCTGCTAGCATCCTTTTGCTAAGGTATGTTGAGAGCACTGTCTCGGGTAGGTCCTTAGTGGCAAACATCAAATCCAGTGTTAATTTTGAGGTACCTGGTACGTCAACATCTCAGAAGTGAAAGGATGTGCTTCAAAAGGTCTTCTGTTTTTCCCCAGTTGCTTAATGGTGTAACTTGAACTGGCTGGCAGACAGTCCAGCCAGCATTCTGACCAGTAGGATTTCTGTAAGACGTGTCAGTCATTCCAGACAATCATCTAGTGTCATCAGCTTTGAATAGCTGAGGACTTTTTTTTTGAGCTTGTATAGCTAAAATGCATATTCTATTTTAAATTCTCCAGTATATGTCAGAAGATGAGGATCTTTGCTTGCTTAAATATTTTTTTTTTTTCAGTACTTTGTCAGGACAGCAGCCCCTCTGTGGAAACTGCCTAAAAGGTTTCTCTGTGAAGAGGTCGTTGTTTAACCTGTAAAAGGAAGAAGTATCAAGTATGTGGTTCTATATAAAGATGACACCAATTCTTCCAAAACTGAATAAACCCAGACCTTTCCCCAGTTCTTACAAAAGCTGTGTGGCACTTTTTTTTTCCTCATAAAGTAAAAATTTCAGGAAAGGCATTTCTGGTTGCCATTGGGAATGCATTTGATCAGCTTACGGACTTGGAGATTAAACCAGTTGATTCTTTTTCCCTTTTCAGTGATGGAATTTAAAACTGCACATTGGTAGTTCCAGGCATATGTCAACTTTTCTTTCCTCACTTCACTGGTACCTAGGTAGCAGATTACCATCCACTTTTTGGTGGGCAGTTTGCTGAAAGAGGGATGGATTTCTCCATCATAGTCAACATAATAATGTTATAGTAAGAATGCAGTTCCTCATTTGGAAGCCTTGAAGATAGTGAAGGCAAGGATGCTTGACTTGAGGTTTTCTTAGTGTATTTATGGATGCCAGCTTGAGTTAGCCATTAATTTATGGCTGATCGAAAGCCTACAAGATAAAATTAATTAGAAATTGGGGCTTCCAAGATTTTTCCTTTTTTCTTTCCAATGTATGGAAGACCAGCATGCAGAAGAGGGAGATGAGCTCTAATTAGCATTTCTTATACCACCAGCTTTTAGAACTTCAGGATAGTTTCTTTCCGTTTCCAAGATACATTGCTGGAGAGGGATTACTACCTTATTTTTACAATGTATGCATTTACTTACAAGCAAGGGAGAAGAAGGTAAATAAACTGAATACTTTTGTTTGCTTTAAAGCCAAATAGAGCACTTGGTTGTCAGAAGTCTTTAGCATTTGCTTATCTGCTTGTACAATATGTTAAATAGGTTGAGCACAGTTTTCTAATCTATTCTGGTTGCACTGACTAAAGTGATGCATTACTATCTCATGTTTGAAACACTGCTTGCTCTGAATTGCTGTAGGCATTTTAATCCTGGATGTTGCACTGAACAATGTTTAAGCCTAGTAAGGCTGTTTGATTCCAAGTGCTGATAAACTTTTCTACTAGTGACCTAAACACAGATGTTGCTATAACTAGTAACCAAAGAAAGGCTTTTACCAGTAGAGTTTGACTGCTTGACAGCATATAAATGTTTAGGAAACCATTCTTTGAGGCTTCAGTAGCAGTTCAACAATGTCATACACATTTTCAGCAGGTAGTTTTCCCTTCCAGCTCTTTAGTGATGATGCTGATCTGAACCTCCACTTACTTTTCTCTTGCATAAACAAAATGCACTGATTCATATAAATTGTAACAATACTAACCTTTAAACTGTTGTTCCCAGTTGCTCTTGCGTTTGACATTACTTAGGCAAGATGGCTGTGCTTAAACAGTCCACTTCAGTCTTTCAAAATAACATTGATTTGCTTTACCTTTTTTTCTCTACAACTTTGAATCTCAAGTTTACAAAATTGTGTGTTCTGTGTATATAATGCTTCACTGAAATTAGAGCAGGAGAACTAATTTATGCTTAGATGTTAAGGAAAGCACATTTGAGCAGGGTAAAAGGAAATTTCCCTTGCTCTTTGCAGTTGATGAAAAGGAGTTCAGAGGTTTTTTTTGTCTGTTCCTGAGTCAGAAGACTAAGGAATTCTCATGACTTACGTAGCTGGAGATGAGAGATACATTTAATCTCAGAGTTTTCAGATCAGTAACTCTTAATCCAAGAGAAAAAAACAAACCAACCCCCAAACAAAACAACCTTTCTTTTTTAGATGTGCTTTGCAGAGTGTTACCTTCATATTTTTACTACATTTTTGACCCCGCATTAAATTCGGTAGTTATAGCACAAAGTTACGTGATTGCCAGACCTCAGAGCAGTTTCAGATAA